TTGTTACTGTAATGCAACACAGCCTCACAGAATCTTGTGAAATGAACATTAACAGTAAAATGCAGCGTCAAATACTTTTTGAGACCACAGCATGCACCATTCTTAAGAGTGAAAGGTTTCTCTAAACATTAATTTTAAGCAGGTAACGCTTTGGTTAAGACCAGCTATATGCAACGAAATGCAGGCGAGACAACTAGACTAAATGTCAGGCAACTAAGTTTTAAAAAATCATGTTAATGTTAGAATAAGGTTTTCATTGTGGGTAAGCAAAATGTATTTGGATATAACAGATCTTTGGTTTTGCCACTTAGCCCAAGGCTACGAGACACAATCACACAAACACATGTACCCACACATGACAGATGCCGCTAACTGCCAAAGACACTAATGCATTAGTCGTGCACTGCCCCGGGCTTTTGCCTGGTAGAACAACAACAAGACTAAGTCACCAGCTGATCAAGTGTGGATGGCGCACGCACACACACACACACACACACACACACACACACACACTGGTTCAAACACAATTGGGTATTTATCCTGATCCCATGTTTGTTTACCATTACCATATAAAAAGGATTACACTTGCAGCTAAATTGTATTGCTGGTTTTAATAATTTAAACCCCTAACACACAGTTACCTGTTGTATATTTTCATAGAACCCCTCTATTTTTAATCTTATATGTTTTAATATGTCATTAGGTTAATGCTTTTAACATGTTCTATCTGTGTTTGCAAGTACTGTTGCAACCACAGTGTTACCAGAAATCTCCCCTCTTTGCAGGTAATGGTGTGGACTGAGTGTGGTGTTTGCTCATTGTGTGTCTTGGGGACCTCTCACTGGGTTGAATGTGTGTGTGAGTGTGAGAGCACATGTGTGTACTGTATGTTCTGGGTGGGTGGTATCTTCATGGGGAATTGATTTTAGAGGATTAGGTTGTGATTACAAAAGGGAGTGGGGAGCAGGAAAGATGTGGAGGTAGAAGGGTGAGTGGGGACAAGGCAAGAGGTGCAGTTAGGTAAAATGGAGAGAAAAGATAGGAAAGAGATGAAGATTTGTTTCAAAATAAGATATCCATCACCCAAAGGCTGCATTCCAAAGTCACTGATGGAACAACATTGAGATACATTCATCTGCAAATATTGAGTAAGGATTTTTTAAGTAATAATCAAGACATTAGTTTAGTTCAGATAGTCGGGTCTACTATTGATTTTATAGAATTCTTGTGGACTGAACACATCTATTGGGGGCACAAACTGTCAGACTTTAGGTATCAGTGCTCAGTGGGAAGAATCCAAAATGGGATTCCTGTTTTGGAATAAAAGCCAGGTTATTAGAAAGGGTGAGTGAGGTCTGTGTGTTTGTGGCTCTGATGTAATCCGGTTTGCCTCTGCCAGTTGGAGAACAAGACCCTGAAATTACAGAAAGTGGGAAACCAAGAGAAAAGCAAGTGGGACACATTTGTAAGTGACTCAAAACCCGCTGGAGACTGACGCCAGAAGCCGCAGAGTCAAGCAACATAGGGAAATGGAGGTAGTGACAGACAACAGAAAGAGAAAGAGAAATGCCCCTTACAAGATGTTAAACAACATTTATGAGTTTCCAAATTGCTGAGCTCAGATACAAGCTTCAGCTTTCAGACCTCTAATGTGTTTTCGAGATTCTCTGTCTCTCTTTTAGACAGCCACTAATGCTAAACTGCCTCCACGCTGGAAGCTTTTCAGCATTTGGGGAAAAATAACATATGAAATCAGTCAGCCTATATTTAACTAGTCCATGTCAAGGAGTTCACACAACAAGTCTTAACCACAGTTACATTCGAGCTGCAGTATACACTATATATAGCTGTTCTACTGTAATAGAAAATTATAGTGCAACTGGGGATTAAGAGGTTGGGAAAAATGCTGTATTCATGGTATGTGGAAGAAAGCTTGTAAAATGTGACACAGACTCCTTGCTTTTCAGATGATTGCCAGTGTGAGGCCGCCTTATTTCAAGATGGATAAAGAGGCTCACAGTTGTTGGGGGTTTTTAAATATATGAAAACAGCTTCTGCATGTGCATCGCGAGGGGAGCAATTTTAAATACATTGCTTCTTCTCATTTGAAATGTGCCAGTGTTTTCATTCACACCCTGCAAATTAAATCAGAATATGGAAATATCAATGTGACAGTGTAAGAAAAATTAAATTCATAAATTCCTAGAACTGAATCTTAGTATAGTTCTTTAGAAATGACAGCAACAGAAGTGACAATATTTGAAATCTCTACATAGTAATACAAGTACTGCCTCCACTGCATGCACATTTGTAAGCACAGATGGACATAGAACCACAAATACATACACACATTCACACACACACACACACACACACACTGACATCCCTCCATCCCTCGAAAACCATCAATTTTTATACTGCTGAGTGGTTTTGATTTAGGAAAGGTTGTACAGTCTCGTCTCTCTAGTGTCTGAGAGCAGCAGTAATGGTGCACTTGTGCCAGAGGAAGAAGCAAGGACACAGTGTTTTATTTTACCAGCCAGACACATGGCAAGTCTGGTTCAGGGTAACATAGGTGAAGAACATTAGTTACTGAGAAAAGATATGCCATACTTAGGTTCAGTTTTTTTTCAAGTCAGTCATAATAGAATAGTCACATATGTGCGTTATTGGTTCAGATTGTGTTATTGGTCACTGTTGTTATTACTGGCAAAAAAGCAGCCCCCTTCTAGCACAACTTCACTGTAAGAAATAGGGTAGAATTCTTATTCCGTGTAAAATATATTTCTAACTTCTGTATGTTAGCCAATCACCTTCCTGCTTACTTGGCCTTTTTTCTCTCTCCTTTGTCCTGTCTGCAATTGTCTCTCTTGTCATTCCAGCGGTGACAGCAGCCCAAAAAGTGCTAGAAAATCACATATGTGCACATACGTGTGTGCATATATCTTTTGACAGTTGGGAGAGCATATCTGCTCCACTTGTTGTCATGGAAACAGTGGGCACCGCGTCTATGTATGTTTCACTTGAGACCCCCAAATTAGAGCAAGGAAAAGGTTTGGTCAGAAGCACCAGGGCCACATTCAGACCTGTTGTTTGACTCACAGTTTGAAGAAGCCAGACAGGACAGTCCACTTACCAAGGGCAGGAGCCAGGACGGCGGGGTTAGACCCAGGATCATCGGTCCTACCACCACCTACCTACCCCCCTTCCCTGCTCCATCAACTATCCTCCATTCGCTTTCCATCCCACAATTGCTGTTCTAACTTTAATTACCTGAAAAGAAGCAACAACATCCTGGCAGCATAATGTGTGCGCGTGTTTTTGCATGGGAACAAGACATTTTTCTGAACAGCAAAATACTGTCTGTTACACACACACACACACACACACAAACACTGTCCCCCGCACACACACATCCTGACCCCGACCAGCCAACATCCCCACCCTTCTCCTCTCCTTTGCTCCCTGGGTTCCCATCCTCTGGGTTCCTATCCTCTTCCCCCCTCCCGGATTCCTTCTGGTTCCCCTTCTGGTTCCTGACCAGCGGGGCTATCTCTGGATGGCCGGCGGTTCCTCTCATTCTGCCGACCCATTGTGTGGTGACTTGGGCTGGGCCCTGGGCCCCGGGGGCCGGGAGGGGAGCCAGGAATGGCCTGGTTCCTGTTGCTGTACTAGTTAAAGGAACTGTGGCACCATTTCCATTAGTGCATCATAACTGCTGTGAAACTGATTTTAGGGCTATTTTTGTGGAAAGAGTTACATCCATGTGTGTTGTTCCCTTCGTTTTTGGAGAACTGTGGCTTTGATAAGGAGAATTGGGTAGTTTAATTGGATGCCTTGGGTGTTAAAAATAACCTAATAACTTGATTTGTTCAAATGCTTTTGCAGAAGAAATCTGTGTTTTACATGTGGAAAATGCAGCCCAAACATGAATGGCTTTCCTTTGGGTCAGGATGGAGTAGGAAAGGGAATACAAACAGATTCCAAAGCAGGCACATTTACATACAAATACATGGAAAGACAGACATTTTTATAGATACTGATATATAGTAATACTACTGTCAAAATACTTTTTATGGAACTTTTTTTCTAAAATGAAGGGACTGGTGTGCAGGAAGTCATCCATCATGCTTTTAAACATTTGAAAGTCTTTAAATGACTAGTTTTCAATGAACACTAACAAATATGAACATAATTTAGTACCTTAGCCACAATACCAATGACACTCAAATGAGTAGCCTCTAAAAGTAAAATATTTTTTTCACCACCCTTAAGAACAACACTTACCTCTCATTGTCTTTGTCACTGAGTTGACAATCTGATGAAAACACACAATTTAGCACATAAATGTGTGCTAGAGCATCCTCTGGTTTACACACATAATGCATCGCACACTCGCAGCCACCACTGTCGTACCTTGTGGCAGCTCTGACTATGAGCTTGGTCCACTCTGTGCTTTGTGAGTTTCTCCCTTGCTCACTGTGGTGTGTTGCATGGGGTGCTACACTAGCTAGTGCACTCGGTTAATTATGACTGCCAAGCCAGGCTGTCACAATGATTCACTATGGAAAGAAAGAGAGGGGAAGAGGGGAAGGAGAGAGAGTTGGCAGGTGTACAGATGTATCGTTAGCGCCACCCAGTGATGCAGAGAGAAGAGAATAGCAACGCCTACTCAAGAAAGACTTGAAGGGAAGTTTATTTTGACAAACTGTTTGTCATTCTGTCTGTATTGCTACACATTTTTCTTTCTGCCTTTTCACTTTGTTTTTTTTTTTGCTCTCAACCACCACTATCTATTCTTTTCAAATGTCTCCTCTCTTCTCTCCATCTCCTTTCTTGCACCTCAATCTTTCAACACCCCTGGCACTCCCTTTTCTTGCTTGCTTGTTCTTTATTTTTTCTCCCTGTCGCCACTTCTCTTGCTGATGTCAGTTGTGCTGTCTCGTGTACTGTTGCAACAAATCAAGCACTCCATTCATCTTGTGTCATCTGTGTTACAGGGAGCTGGAAACGTGCGCTCTGTCTCCACTGACAGCCACCTCTCCACTTTATCATCGCCGAGCAGATCAGATCGGAACTGGGCCAAGTAACTCAGTGGTGGATAAATGGAAGGTGGCCGTGAGTGAGGATTTATAGGACTGGTTGAGGTTGCCCAAGCTGAAATGAAATGAGGCAGTGCCCTATTGTGATCATATGGTTTATTTGCTATAGCTCCTTGTGGCACAGCGAGAAGTGCATTCAAATTACAGCTCCCTAGACTCTGTTTAAAAAGGTTTATTGGATATATTGGAGAGTTTACTGTTTTCAGTGCTCTAGAAATCAAACATCTGTGCCAGACATTAGATCATGTGTCAGTAATCTGCTGCAGCTATTTTGTGACTTCAGGTGAGAAAACAAAAATGGTTTCTGCATAACCATTAACAACACGGCTGACATTGGAAGAATTCAGCAACCCGTCCACCCACACACATAAGCAGGCCCGCACACATGCATGCACCCACAGCAAAAAAAGTAATTTGTTCTACCTCATTAGCATGTATTGTGGCGAGCGGGCGTAACACATTGAAAGGTGAAATGGGTCCGCCATGAATAGCACACCAGTCGGCAGAGGAGAGGAAAAGGAGGGGGGAGGAGAGAAGGGGGGAGGGAGGGAGGAGAGTGTCCAGATGGCTGGGGACCTGCCGCACACACAGGGAGTCTCTCGCTCGCTTTTTTACTCCGCTGATTGCACCGTTTCGACTACACTCGCTTTCACTTGCTCTCCTTCTGCAGCTCCCTTTTTTCTCACTTCCATCAACACACACACACACACACACACACACACACACACACACACACACACACACACACACACAAAGGCCAAGCCCATATGTAACCTCCCTTCTTCCAGAGTTGTTGTTCACATGCAGCCGTCGTGCTTGTGCACACACACACATATACACTCTCACAGGCAATATGTGACCAGGAGGCAGAGTGCAGTTGAGTGCAGCCCAGTGGAGCGCCTCTTTTGGCCCATTGCACTACACAAACTAGTCTCCTTCTTTTCTCCTCTCCTCCTTCATGTCTCTTTCAACTCCTTCTACCCTCCACCTTGTTGTTTGACCTTTCTTCTTCTATAGGTGTTTCCTGAAGTCCTCTTCCCATTCTTCCATAAATTATACATTTACTGAAGGAACGGTTGTTAATTTTCCCCTAATTAATGACGTACATGGACTGGAGTTTGTTAGATACACTAACTGTCCACCGTGAAGTCTGTCATTTTGGAGAGATTTCACAAAGCGTCCTTCTTCAGTTTGATGACTGGGGCATGACTATGTTTGATACGCAGTATTGAGACTCTGTTTCTGGCGAGTTACATCAGATTGCACTAAAGCTGAGGCCATCTTTGGTCGATCCTTTGACTACGAAAGAGGGGAGAGAGAGACAGAGGAAGAGTACTGACGTTTGCCCTGATGTTCCCTTTCCTTTTCTCTCAGCATTGTGTAGCGCTGCCAGAATATCTGTTCATTTATCTTCCCATCTGTGTGTGTCTGTATATCAGTCTGCCAGTCTGTCACTGACTCTCTCTTCTTCTCATCCTTCTCCTGATTCGGACCAACCCCCTCCCTCTACACTTTTGCCTCTTTTCCTGTGTCTCTCAGACTATGTCTTTTCCTGAGTGTCTGGTGGAGAATCACTAATGGTCTCCACTGGGGTGTAAACTGTGTGGGGGCCTGTGTATTCTGTAGGCTGTGCACACACACAGATACCCACACATCAATTTTAGACAGCACACAAGCAGGGGTTAGTAGGCAAAGAAGACAGAAAAGGGAATAGAGGGAAGGAAGCACACATGTCTGGGTGTCTGGTGATGTGGTGTGCTGCTGTGCCAGTCCAAACACAACCCCATATTTACATCCTTTTGCATCCCTACTCTTTTTGCATATATCCAGCTTTCTCTTTTCTCTCACACACATCGCTCTGTGCCATTAAACCTACACATGCTGAGTGGCCAGAGGCAGTCTCATGGGACTCCTCATATGTGTGTGTGTGTGTGTGTGTGTGTGTGTGTGTGTGTGTGTGTGAGAGAGAGAGAAGAGAGCAATTTGTGTGTGTGTGTGTGTGTGTGTGTGTGTGTGTGTGTGTGTGTGTGTGTGTGTGTGTGTGCTCACTCCATCACCCCCACTATTCAAGTCCACCTCATTGACTCATCATTGAGTGGGCCCTCCAAAGCTCTATTGAGTTTATCAAGTCTTCCACAAAAAAGTCACTCCCATTCTTTCTTATGGAAGCCAGCTACCCCTCACCCCCCACCCTTCTCACACACACACACAGATTGGCTGATACACACAGGATTGCGCCGGTCCATTGAAATCCCCTTAGCAAAACGTTTTCTCCTCATCAGCATTGTGTTACTATTCAGTTTGTTAATGCGCCTGTATGAAGAAAGCCTTTTATTTGCCTGTTTTGAATTTAAGCACATATATTAACCCATATATTGGGAATGACTCTTTAATAGCCTGAATAGGGTGTGTGTGTGTGTGTGTGTGTGTGTGTGTGTGTGTGTGTGTGTGTGTGTGTGTGTGTGTGTGTGTGTGGAAGGGGCGGGGGGTATTAGGAGTCGAGAAAAGGGAGATCTATATTTTGGATGCAGCGAGCTTACTTGAAGCCATCAGAGTTGCAGCTTTTTGACTAGTTGACTTGTTTAATACTTGAATAAAGTAAGCCCTTGATGCTGATTCACAGACACGCTCACACAGAGAGAGTAATTTAACACAGCACGACTCATATCCATGCAATTGTAAATGTGGCATTTGCAATGTGAGTGCCTCAAATATATTTGTCCCTTTTTAACAAAAGTGTTCAAATGGCAGGCAATGCCAGTATAACAAACAGGTGAAATTATAGGAATTACAAAACATAGACCAGTGCAAACAATCATCACTATTTGGACGTGGAGTTTTGCTAAGCTTTTGTTGCTGTCAGTTGGATTATGTGTTTTGGCAAGCCTCTTACTTTAGTGTATTTGTTTGGTTGCCTACTACGTCTGTTGCTGTTATTACATGTTTTTGTTGCGGATGAGATGGTGAAAGTGGGACTGATTCCAGGCAATCTGGGACAGAGCGGTGAGAACAAATTACTTCAAAAGAGGCTTCAGCATCCTCCAACACTGCGCTTCCACACATATGAAAAAAATATTTAATTGGTGCTGTGAGCCAATAAATCCCTATCAGGTGAAAAGCTTCCACTGTATTGACTGATCACGAAGTTCAACTGGCATCGGCTGGTGCTGGTTATCATGGCAGGCCTTCCTGGCACCAATGTGGAAAATAATCAATAGCAGATCTCTGATTACAATAACTGGAAGTTGGGATATGAAGTTAAGCCCCCAACTGCTGTTTATTGAATAAACTAAATCCATTGTATCAATGTCTGCTTATGAAAGGAAATATGAGCTTAAAGAGAGAGAATACGCTTATGAATGTGAGTAATTTTCAGGGGCCACAAGTCTCAAGGGAGCTCGTGGAGCTATTGCTGTTGTTTATGAGCACGCACACACTCACACACACACACACACACACACACTCATTTTCACTCTCATCTGTCTCTATCTCGTCTCTCTCTGTGTCTTATTATATTACTTTATCCCTTTCTCTCTCTCCTCCATTACTGGCATTTTAAGCAGCTCACTAGGGAACATGAGGCTTGTTGGCAATAATGTTAAGATGCTTTGTCTCGCATCCTCACTGTTGTGGGCACACAGACACACACACAAAAGGAGGTAAATGCAGTTAAAAAGAGGTTCAGGGGAATTTTGATGGCATTTTTTGTCTTCTACCTTCCAGAACATGAGACATAGTGCATGAGATTGTGTGAATATGTGTGCTTGTGTGGGTGTGCATGTGTGCAGATGCCTGCAAGCTGACAGGGAGTGAAAGCCCAGACATATGTTAATCAGATGTTGTGATGATGGCAGAGCAGAAGGAGAGAGCGAGAGAGGGAGAGGGAGCACTGGAGGGAGGAATGAGGGGTGAAAAGAAACGAAGAGCTTTTAAAAGACAGAGTGAGGGAGGAAACAGAAAAAGGAGCCACGGTAGAAGACAAGGAGAGGGATGAGGAGGGAAGAAATGAGGAGGAGAATAGAGAAAATGACAGGAAGTGGTGCAGTGATTCATTTTCTAACTGCAGGAACCACTGCTGAGAATCGATTCAATCCATTAGTTTAACCGAATGGACCTACACTATAAGTTTGAGGTCACTAAACAAAAATGATAAATGTTTCTTGTAGGCACTAAATGCATTATCCATACACAGTCTCATTTTTCTCTTTTTGTTTTCAGATTTGACATCACTACCCTGTTTTAGTCTGGTAGCAACATCTGATATCTGTATCATATAAATGAAACCAGTGTAGCCTAGTGGCGATTATATGAAAGCTGCTATAATCATTATTCTTATTTTAACAATGTATAAAAAGGCTAAATGTAATGTGAACAGAATTGCTTGTATGAACACAGAGGGAATTATTACCAACTCTCTTTTTAGCAAGACAGAGCTTTTTAGCATCTGTCTGCACATTGTCGTGGTTTTATGGGCTGCAACGTTACTCTTTTGGTTCACTCTCTATGCTCCAGCTGCAGGCAGTGAAAAAGCTCTTATACACTGAACACTATCCTACCAGCCCCCACACATCAGACATCAAAGTTAGCGGCTAGCTGGTCAACATAGCTCACCACTTAAGTGCTAAATGCTGACAAAGCTGGCAAAGCTAAAAGGAGAGTAAATATTGGACGCACATTCATCAGGTGGACACAAACACAAATCTTAACAAATGCTAATGTTGCTGTTAAAGTGCATTATATCACCTTTATAAGGTGACAATATGTCACTATTTATAGTTTATAATCGGTTTCCACTGCACCCAAGAGGCCAAAAACAGTAAAAGTAAAGTAAGTAAAATATTATACATCAATATTCATCAACTTTCAGTGTGAAGAGTTTTGTGATTATACGATTATACATATAAGTTATTTTCTATATTGTGTTAAATTCTGCAAGTAAAACATAAGAAAACAAGATTTAGTTAATAAGTTGTCTAATGTAACGCAACAGTGGAATGTGGTTCATTTCATTGAAAA